TTTAAAAGTTCAATGTATATAAATTTTATGTATTAATTAAATTTCACATATGAATATAGGTTTTTGACATTCTCGACATTTTTGACGTGACTGTTTAAACCGTCAAAAACTGTCATATGTCAAAAACCTGCCAACCCTGATTAAAAAAGAGTGAAATTCGAGAGACAAAAGTAAAAAAAGCGGAAAAATCTGATCCCTGTTTAAAGCAACAGCATTAATAAGGAATTAATTACAATTCAGATAATCATAATAACCAAGACTCAATTCTAGCATATGGTACACAGTGGATTTGAAGGTATTGGTGATGTTTGTAAGCAGAAAGTTGGAGCCTGTTGCTGATTTGCATAGACATTTATTAACAGTTTCGTAAAAGATCGAAAAAATGAGGAAATTGTATTCAGGGTTCTATCCAAGGCAATTTACTACCTTTCAGAGGTACTTTCACAAATTCAACTTCAGGAAAAATGGTAGTTTCACAAAATACCTTTAAAAAAGCAAGATTCTCCTCCTTGCTTCTTAAACATTTCATGAAACCTAAATGTGTTTATTATTGCATCCTTTATATGCCTGTTTAGTAATGATAAATAATAGTTCTGTGCCCCGTGGCAGAATCGTGGTGACATGGTGATATTGTCACAAAACGTTACAGAGCTCTTGCAGAGGGACTTTATCTATGGGAAATACAACTTTTCGCTTTTCTTTCCTGAAAAAATTTCGAGAGATTTTAACTTTTCATAAGAATTATATTCTAAAGATGCTTTTCTTGCGCATCAAAGTGGGAAAAAAATGAGTGTGATTTTTCTATTTTCATTTGAGAAAAATGAAGTAAAAAATTTGTTTTTCTTTTCTGAACAAATTTTCGTTCTATTTTTTCATGCAGATATGAACTGATTTTTACATAGCTTTTAAAATCAGATATTTATGACAACAACTGAATCTCAAAATGAAAACCAGTTTTCAGTAACCCCTTTTCGAAGAGTCCCATTCGCGTCATTTTGCCGTCAATCTTTTTCTCGGTAGTTACTACTACATATTTCACGATTTTTTTAAAAATGTGACGAATTACAAAATGCGACAAAAGGACATAAGTGTGTTATCTTTTTACAAAATGCAAGAGTATTGCTCATAATATTAGATTTAATAAAATAGTACATATTTAATTAAAAAATATTTATTAGATCCAACTTTTTATTTATTTGATTTTTTTTTAAATTAACGCTTCTATTTCTTTGAATTAATAACACGCATATCTGTTATTTTTAAATATCTTGCAGAAAGATATTAGTATTAGAGAGGTATGTGACAGAAATCAAAGAAAAAAAATTATGTGAAGAGATTATATATAATTATATTTTTATAAAACTTATAACAGATATACATGTTTAGCATAGTAAAATAATACTTAGATAATATCTTAATATGCAATCTACCTACATAATAGATATTCATTTTTGCCATAGCCTGGCACACCCCATACTGATGTTATTCAGAGTGCTCAATATTGGACATATTTTGTAGCGAAAATCTGTGCACCAACAAAAACCGCCAAATGGATTTTTAAAAGAGATTTGAATGGCGGTTAAACACTTTGAGTTGGTTCACAATCGTGATTCTTTTTAGTTTCTCACATGTCTCTGCCCGAAAGACGCCAAGATAGGGATATTTCCATACAGAGACCTGTTATGCCAACTACAATAGCCAAGGTACCAAATAGATTTTAAACTTGCACATATTTTTAAAACAAAAACATGTATATGTTTACCTGGAGTGTGTATGCTTTATACCTTTCATTGATTACTTTTCCCTTTGTGAGTATTTTGCCCGGAAGTTGCAAAGACTTTCAGATTATTCTGCCACAGATCACGTTGCCGAAATCTCCCCAATTAATTAATAGTATAGATATTAATTATCGTAATAAATGTCTTAATTGCCAGTGTTTTCACTACAGCGCGAGAATCTCGCATATTTTTTCATATTCTCACATTAAAAAATAATTCCCGCGAAAAATTCCCGCATTCTATAAACCAATTTCAAAATCTGCGAATTTCTCACATTTTGAAAAAAATTTCTCATTTGCGACATTTAATCCGTTTCATTTTTCTTCCTGGATCTTTTAATATTTTCAATATCTGCCCCATTATCTAGCTTCCCTATTTATCAGTATTGTTCAAAACCTTTAAGAACAGAACACCATCCTTCCGAACCACGAAACCTCTTTCAGAACGCATTTCTCTGCAACCACATGTTTCCCGTAGGTAAGGTTTCTTAATGTAAGATGTTCAAATTTTTTGCTGGTTAATGTAAGATAGACAAATACCTTGTAAAGTCAATATATTCTACTCCGAAACGGACAAATGAAAATGAAACAAATGTGGGTAGAAACGATCAGAATGAAACAAATAAGCATTTGAGCAACCCTAATGAGAATAGCTGATGAAAAAGTAGATGTAGAACTTTTTCCATATGATGATGCAGCAAAAATATTCAATGCTTTAAAAATTAGAAGATGTTAAAAATGCATTATAATTAAAGAAATGATTTTTTTTTCAAGTCTCTTAGTGTTATTTTTTCTTCTAATTATTGAAATCTCACTTAACTTTTTGAAATCTCACCCTGTTTTTGAGAAAGGGTGAGAAATTCTCACCCATTTTTTTTCTGAGATGAAAACACTGATGTCTTAATAGCATATACATTTAATATTGCATCTAAACTTTAAATGAGAAAGTGAAGATATTAAATCACTTACTGAAATAAAACCTACATTTTAAAAATAGGTAAAAGAAAGATTAGAAAAAATAAAATAAAAAGTTGCAATTATGCCGTCATGATGATTGAAATGCAAGTAAAATAAATATACTTAATCTTAGAATCTATCCAGCAATTCGTTATACAATTTACAACAATTTTAACAGGAATGAGTTTTAACAAAATTTTGAAATTTTTTAGAACTTAAAAATTATGTAAAGGACGATTACGTAAATGAAAAGCTGTTAAAAAATACATATTCATTAGTGCAGAACTATTTAAAAAGTAATATAACGATGTCTCTTTCATAACTTATGAAATTTAAAAATATATAAAATAGAAAAATTGTAATTTTAAGTGTAAAATATGCTTACTTAAGTAGGACAATAAATACCTACACGCGGTGTACCAGTTAATGTTGAGTTAAAAAGACAGAAAATAGACAACACGAGCGCTAAGAAGTCGATTGATGCCACTCAGCGTTACCGCCAAGCACAAAGAGGAAATTAAAATCTAAGGTGGCTTAGATGTTANAAAAAAAAAAATGAAATACCTATCGTCTTGGTGGCAGCCATATTATGGTCTTTCAGGTTTACCTTAGATTAATGCATTATCTCATTGTTGGCACAACATTAAAGAATGACAAAATAAAAAATTGCTGTTGCATTATCTTGCCTAGTTCATGTCGTTGTCGTTTCACTCAATGTTCAATATATACCTTAAAGAACTTACTTCCCGTTAATTAGCAAAATCTATTTTGGCCCACAATGTGCCC